GGATTACAGGCGTGAGCCACCACGCCCAGCCTGCTTTTACTTCTTAAAAGTATCTTTAATAGAGAGGAGATATAAATTGACTAGATATTTTTATTTATTTTATACATACATATATATTTGTTTGTGTGTGTGTATATATATATGTATATTTTAAGATGAAGTCTTGCTCTGTCACCCAGGCTGCAGCGCAGTGGCTGGAGCTCAGCTCGCAACCTCTGCCTCCCAGGTTCAAGAGATTCTCCTGTCTCAGCCTCTCGAGTAGCTGTGATTACAGGCACCTGCCACCACGCCAGGCTAATTTTTTTGCATTTTTATTAGAGATGAGGTTTTGCCATGTAGCCAGGCTGGTTTCGAACTCCTGACCTCAGGTGATCCACCCACCTCAGCCTCCCAAAGTGCTGGAATTACAAGTGTGAGCCACCATACCTGGCCTTAAATATAAATTTTTAAATATTCTTTATTTTATCCCCACACTACAATGTTGTAACTAGGTGTTTTTATAATGAATGTTTTGAAAAAATAAGTAATTAAGTTACAGCCATCGAAATCTAGTAATTCAAAAGAACAATGGACTCAGAGCTTTCACAATAAGGCATTATATTAATTAGTATCAATAAATTTCTACATTTATTAAAACAAGTTTAACACAAAGGCTTAAATTGAGTACACTGTTTTCAAATATGGCTTTCCCAAGTGCCATACGATATAAACCAAATAACTCAAGAAAATCATTATTTTGGAATCATATTAAATCTATATACTATACTGAAACAGAATATCAACACCTCTGAAGTGGTATCTTCCCTTTTTGTTTTTTTCTTTTTTTTTGAAACAGAGTCTCACTCTGTCACCCAGGCTGGAGTACAGTGATGCAATTTCGGCTCACTGCAACCTCCTCCTAGGTTCAAGCGATTCTCCTGCCTCAACCTCCCTAGTAGCTGGGACTATATGCCCGTGGCACCACATCCAGCTAATTTGTGTATTTTTAGTAGAGAAGGGGTTTTACCATGTTGGCCAGGCTAGTCTTGAACTCCTGGCCTCGAGTGATATGCCCACCTTGGCCTCTCAAAGTGTTGGGATTATAGGCATGAACCACTGTGTCCGGCCAAGACAAGTACATAACTAGTCTTAACACAATGGAGAAAATGTTTAGAAATCCCTAACATAGGAATAGGTAAGGGATTATTAGATGTTCATGGATGGAAGTATATCAGAGAAGACAGCCTAGATCTTAGCTGGGCCTCGGCCTTTCAAAATGCTGGAATTATAGATGTGAGCCACCACGTCCCGCCTCAAGTGTTATCTTCTCTGATTCACAGCTCTCGTGGGTTTTTTTGTTTGTTTTGTATTTTTTGTAGAGATGGGATTTTGCCATGTTGGCCAGGCTGGTCTCAAATTACTGGTCTTAAATGATCTTCTTGTCTCAGTCTCCCAAAGCGCTGGGATTATAGGCACGAGCCACCGCACCCTGGCCTCATTTACAGTTCTTAAGAGTTTACACTTTACTAAAAATATTTTTTTGTCCATAACATTAATCTCTAAAAAGTTTTGTAATATATTTTTAAGTATCCATCCTTAAGATCACCAAAGGATTTTTTTCTTTTTCTTTTTTCTTTTTCAGACAGAGTCTTGCACTGTCATCCGTGCTGAGTGCAGTGGCACGATCTCGGCTCACTGCAACCTCCACCTCCCAGGTTCAAGAGATTCTCCTGCCTCAGTTTCCCGAGTAGCTGGCATTACAGGCGCCCGCCAACAGGCCTGGCTAATTTTTTGTATTTTTAGTAGAGACGGGGTTTCACTATGTTGGCCAGGCTGGTCTTGAATGCCTGACCTCGTGATCAACCCGCCTCAGCCTCCCAAAGTGCTGGGATTACATGCATGAGCCACCGCACCAGGGCCACCAAAGGATTTTTTAAAAACCAAACATGGATAACTAAAAATAAAATGCAGATAAAGTTGAAAAGCCTCCAGCTTTATTAATAGAGCTTGATTCTTAATTATAGCGCTCGGATGTTGTCACTTTAAAACAGTATCAGAAGATGCTCTGTGCATTTGCAAGAAGGAGCAACATGTTCAGGCTTGTTTTTATAATCTTGGCTTCCTTAAATGTGTACAGCAGCTGAATCAGCCCTTTATATCACTAAAGCTAATGCAGAGCTGTGATTATATTATTGATTCAAAAGCTAAAAAAGCCTTAAGAAACTAAGAACTTGGAGTATCATCCACCTTTAAAGTTCATAAATAGCCTTGTCTATAAATTTTAAAACTCATATTTCAGTTGATTTTCTGCATCAATTTTCCATTTAATTAATTACACAAAACATAAATATAACTCTTTTTATAAATAGAGGCACAGGGATCACTTCAGCAGCACATATACTAAAATTGGAACAATACAGAGATTAGCATGGCTCCTGTGCAAGGATGATATGCAGATTCATGAAGCATTCTATATTTTTACAAAAAAATTTTTTTAAATAGAGGCACAAAAATCCAACACACTGGATGACTCCACAGCATATCAATATTTCTGTACCTGTGGGTATCTTAACTAACAAGAAAGGAGAAAGCTGGCAATTCAGACTAGGTAATATTTCATATTTTAATTTCGTGACACCCTTGGCTGAGTATTGGCCTTTCTCAAGAATGATCTGTGAGGACTCTGCTCTTATTTCTTCTACCTACAGTGGTTAAGTATAGATTTTTGTCAAATTCTTGTAAAACACTGAAACATTGTAAAACATCTCTGAAGAAACTTGATGAGACTATAATGGTATTTTGGAATTTCTGCATGTAAAAATAAGATAAGGAATCCAATTAAGGATGGGCATTAAAACCATATAATGCATCTGGAAACTTTCAGTTTTTCTTTTTTTTTAATTATACTTTAAGTTCTGGAATACATGTGCAGAACGTGCAGCTTTGTTACACAGGTATACATGTACCATGGTGGTTTGCTGCACCCATTAACCCGTCATCTACATCAGGTATTTCTTCGAATAGTTCCCCTCCCCTTGTCGCGACCCCCAACAGGCCACGATGTGTGATGTTCCCCTCTCTGTGTCCATGTGTTCTCATTATTCAACTCCCACTTATAAGTAAGATGTGATGTTTGGTTTTCTGTTCCTGTGTTAATTTGCTGAAAATGATGGTTTCCACCTTCATCCATGCCCCTGCAAAGGGCATGAACTCATTCTTTTTTATGACCGCATAGTATTCCATGGTGTGTATGTGCTACATTTTCTTTCTTTCTTTTTTTTTTTTTTTTTGTAGAGATGGGGTTTTACTATATTGGCCAGGCTGGTTTCGAACTCCTGACCTCAAGTGATCCCCCCGCCTCAGCCTCCCAAGGCACTGGGATTACAGGTGTGAGCCACTGCACTGGGCCAACGTGCTACATTTTCTTTATCCATCCTATCACTGATGGGCATTTGGGTTGGTTCCAAATCTTTGTTATTGTAAATAGTGCTTCAATAAACATACGTGTGCCGAATGTTCATTGCAGTGCTGTTTACAATAGCAAAGACCTGGAACCAACCCAAATGCCCATCGATGATAGGCTGGACAGGGAAAATGTGGCATATATATACCATGGAATATTATGCAGCCATCAAAAACGATGAGTTTGTGTCCTTTGTAAGGACATGGATGAACCTGGAAACCATCATTCTCAGAAAACTGACA